AACACCACAGAAAAATACAGCTTTTTATAATGTTAGATACCTTCTGTTTGAACAGAATGACTGAGCTGCCAGCATTTACTGAGACAACATTTTAGGAAAAGTCCCTGATTTGTTCCCTGAGCCAAATTGTCGATTCATATCCTGTTAATGATGCAATAAAACTGCACTTCCCACAAATCAGTTTACTATGAACGAGTGGTTTGTTTTAATGATATTGTATTTTTTCTGATGTACATTTCTTTGCAGAAGCGGACAGTGCCTTTTTTACACATAGTGTCTCATTAAAGTTGCATTTGGAATGTATGTGCTAGACCAACATAAAATAATGCTTATGGATGGTGAAGCTAGTCGGAATTGATGGGAAGCTGAAAAGAAGAGTTAATTACAAGCTAATACTTTATAGATACTTTATAGGTCATATTGAAGTATATCCATCTATTAGAATGACCAAATCAAAGCTCAAATCAGCATAAACTTTGATTCAAAGCTTAAAAACTGATGCAATGTAGGGCTGCAACTATTATTTCACAAATCGATTAATCCGTTGAATACTTGGTTATTCGATTAATCGATCAATAATCAGATAGCAAAAGATTGATTAAAGAAGATTTTTGTGAAATTAAATCAGGTGAATCTAAAACTTCTGCATAGAGCATATATATAGACAAGCAAGTTTTCTTTTAATCTAAAATGCAAAAAAAAAAAAATATAATATATATATATATATATATATATATATATATATATATATATATATCTTTTTTTCAGTTACAATAATGGTATAATTACTGCTCTAAAAGGTGCTCTGTCAGCTAAAGACATGTTTTAGTCTATAAGCTCCTCTTGAAGATGAATCAGTTACTGAATTAGTTGAAGATTATTTCAATAATTGATTGATCACGAATAATCCAATTAAGTATTTCAGCTCTACTGTAATAAACGCTTTACCACTGACCTAACTTGACTTGAATTCTTACAAAGAAAGATGAGCAAAGTATTCAATCTGTTGTTATGAAAATGTGATAGTGACATACCTTGAAAGACTTTTTGCTGCAATTACAGTAAAATGCAGCCCTGAGAGTTGTGGTTGAAAAATGTTTTTTTTTTTTTTTTT